ACACACACACACACACACACACACACACACACACACACACACACACATCCCTTTTTCTGTTATCTGATCATATGGCGCCATCTAGTGGCTGATAATATGAATCAGTAAAAGACAGCTAATGCTCTCCCACACCTTAAGGGGAACTCCATTGAGGTTTTTGTGACTAGACTCCAGTGAGTGGATGCTGGCTCCCTGCCCAGGCTGTTGGCTTAGGAACCTTTGCCTAAACGTTCCTGCTGGCATCTTTGTGGTTTTGTATTTCAGGCCAAGGCTACAAAGCTATTTTGGGAGACGTGGTGTGTTTGTTCAAAAGCTAGAATGGTATTTCCGTTTCATTTGAGACAACTCAAGAAAACAAAATCTGACCACAGGCCCACAGTGGCCCAGCAAATCCCTCTGCTTGATCCAACATATGTATTTCCTCATCACATGAGGCCACAGCATAGTGAATTGTATTAAGAGATTTGGAAAATCTGCACGAAAAGCACATTACCTTCACAGATGTTTTTTCTCAGATAACTTGGATGTTTCTTTTTCTACTAGTTTGACTTTTCCAAGTTGCTGAGTGTGCATATTTCTCAGCAACATCCTGCTTTACTGCCTTGAATGGCTTTTTTAGGCTCCTGTACTGCAGCATACGCAGCAGCGGACACTCTGCGATCTGTGATGCTTTGTGTATCGTCTCAGTAATGTGGATGCTGTTAACAGGCTGCTTCACAGGAAGCACTGTAACAGCACAACAATGTAATGGGCTGATAATGCAGAGTTATTGGTGGCTGTGTAGACTCTGTGTGTAATCCTGGACTGGCGGCATTGCTCTGAGTGTGGTTACTACATACAGTAATGTGCTATGAGGGCGTGCATTCATTGAGGGTAGCCCACAGACCCTCTGAGAGATACAGCACAACGCCTTTAGGTGCGTGTATTTCTGTGTATTTGAGTGCATGCTGAGCAAGTTTGTCTATTTAAAAAAAATAATCATTGGATTTAAACATGTATTTGTTTGTGATTAGAGCCTTAACATGCAGTTTACCCCTTTGTGTCCCCTTAATCATAGTATTTCAACATGAAAGCATCTTATATTATCTGTACCATCTCATCAAGCTCTTCATTGAAGCTATATCACACTCAATGGAGTAGTAAAACTCAAACTACTCTTAAATTGCAGTGCTAAACTAAGTTTCCCAGCTGACATTATAAAGCACAGTGACACCGACAGTGTAGCAGTCTTAATTAAAAAGTAAAAACGTATCCAGTAAGGAGAAATACATGGCTGTTATTATTAGTTTTTTTGGTAAATAGTATTGGCCTCAGTGAGTGCAGGCTACCTGGTTAAAGTTAGAGGCTACTGAGAGGTTTACACACACACACACACACACACACACACACACACACACACACACACACACACACACTTCCTCGATAGAGCCTTGGATTTGGGAACGGCCTGCTGGCTGCCTCCCTCTCTTATTGTGCCAGATCAGCGGGGCCTTGAGATGAATCATTGATGACCGGTTCCAACGGCTTAATGGCCTCTAATGTTCTGTAATGATCTCCCGTCAACGCCATGCGCGCGGCCTTTAATGGATCCAATGCCGTGGAGAATTCTCTGGCCTGAACTTCGGTAATTCCTCCTCTTTCTTCGTGGAGCAGCGCACAGCAGGAAGTGCGAAAAGCCATGAGCACAAGGCTCCGGAGCTCCATGGGCGCAGCATGAGTTTCCCTCTCCGCCGATCGACCTCAGGTAGGACCGGGGGGGGGGGACGATTTGGAATAACGAGATTTGACCCGGCTGAGCTATCCTGCTACGAAAGAAGGAGCATAACTCGGCCATTTGGGAATATACTTTTCTAGGGGGAAAGGGATAAACATATAGTTGAGTTGAGGTCAATGGAAGTCTCCGAAGGGACTTTTCTGAAATGCTGCCTCGGTGCTTTTGTTGATGATACTTAAACAGGTCGTTTTCAACCTTAACTTGTTCTCAAAATATTAAATGTTCTATTTTATAAAGTTGTATTTGAAATAAGTCGATCATTTTGGTACAACATAAGTAAGACGTGTGATTTTAACTGATTTAGTTAAAACTTGAAGCGCTGTCCGTGGTGCTGAAAGCAGCACCAGGCGCGCCCTGCTACAGAGGGACTGCTGGACCGTTTGATTAGCCTCATGTACACCCATGCATAATGTATGGCCTTGTAATTTAGGCTCTTAGCATTATTCTGATGTATCCTTTGCATCCTTGAGAACGATTTCAAAGCATTTCGGGAATTGAGATCCTACACTTGTCGGCCTATCGGTGTCCTCCACGCTCACGAGGCAGATTTCACAACTCCAACTTTTAAAATATCACAACACTTGACAGAAGTGTCAGTTGGGGAATGCTAAAAAAAAAAAAATCAGAGACCCTGAATCAAAAGTCTCGGCTCCTATCGCACAAATCCTGTTACTGTCAAAATCCATGTCAGCCTGCAGGGCGGTTTCTCTCATCGTCTACTCTACCGAAATAAAATCAAGCAAAACTCACATCAAAAGTCCCAAAAATGATTCAGGCTAAAGGAAAGCACATCAATTTCAGAGATATTCAACGGCTACGTTGTACACGTGTATCACACTGTTCACTGCTGTCTTTGTCGACCTGCTAAAGGCCTCAAAGTATTTATCTTCATTATGAATACTGCCCCATGCTGCTGGGTTTCTGATCATACTCTAACTGGCATTTATGGTTAGACAGAGAATCACACACACTCTCTCTGGATATTTGCTGTGTAGTTTTCTGTCGGGATTAATTTCCTCTTCTCCAACCTCATTTTGTCAAAATCTACTTCTGTAGGCTACAGAGCTACCAACCAAAGATCAGCTCAAATGTATCTTTCAGATCCCTTATCTTCAATTGATTGTGTAAATGCAACAGTCTATATAAAGCTTGATTAATCTATGCTATTTATTTGCAGCCATTTATTCATGCTACTGGGATGTTTTCTAATCCTGAGAACAAATCAATTAGTAATTCTTCCCTCTGTGTTATTTGGTTGCAAATTTGTTTCCACTGATTTGCTTATTGATTCACGTACTTTCTGTAACATTTCAATTTTGTTATTGTGCTGATTTAAGGCTAAAACCTGATAAACTGTGGTGACTGTTCTTCGGAGGCACCTTGTTTCTGGTTTGTTCGCCCTGCAGCTTGTATTGTCACATTGTGTTACCTCTGATCTTTGCTGCTTTTGCTTTTAGGGGCACATGATGTGGTTTTTAAAAGCAAGGAGCTCATACATGAAAGATGAAGGCTTCGCTTTCATTCACTTCATTACAGTGGTTGTACACGTTTGCTTTCAAATTCTGATGTTTTTGATGACATTGCAGACTGCTTATGAAATCTTTTATGGCTAAAAGTGCTGTCTCTCTCAGGGAGTGGGTTGAGCTGTGCGATAAACACCTAAACTATATTTAACTGTACATTTACAAGGGTCTTACCTAACCAGAAGGCAACGGGTGTATGTTTAACTCCTTCAGTCAAGGACAGGCTATAGAGGCTCCACTTCAGTGACCAAGTCCTGACCCCAGTTTCTATCCACAGTCCATCACTTTCTCCTCCAGACACAGGCTTATTCTCACTGTGGGCTACTGAGGTGTCCACTTCAGTCATGTAATTTACTGCTCATCACATCCTCTTGCTTTCCAGCCATCGATTTTCCACCGGTGAACAGCATGCATTGGCTCTGCCTGCTGCTCGGCGCCGGGTGCCACAGGTCGACCTCCACTGCGAGTCAGTCGGCTCTTTGTCCGCAACCCCGTCTCCCTCAAGACCCGTTTGGAGTTGGCAGTTGCCACCGCAAGTGTATCTGCCTCTGACAGTATCTGTTTTCTCAGGAAGGCTCGCCTGCGGCCAGTCGACGTGCATGATTTGGCCGTTTTGCTGCGGTACATGTGTGTGCGTCCGCTCTGGTGCGAATGCAAATGGAACTCAGGAGAAAAGAAAACACACGGCTCATCCGAAATGAAGAGCTGTCTCCGTTACTCGCCTCCTTCTTGCACGCTGCAGCCTTTCAGCAGTGGTGAACCTCTGCACCAAAATAAGACGAGAGCCCCTCCTCTTCCCACTTTATCTCTCTGTCTCACAGACACACACACACTCACCAGGTGTCTCTCGACCTTCCATTATTGTCCCTTCACTTACATTTCTCTTGTCTTTCCTCCTCATATTGAACTCTAATTCTTCATGCCTCTGCATGAATCTCCTTTCCTCTTTCTCCAGCCTCACACACTCAATAGTGTACATCTCTCTCACTCCCTTTGCTTCTTTTCATAATTCCTCCTCTCCTTCATTCATCTTTCCATTTTCACAATCCATTTATAGGTTGTGTACAAGCTTCTCCCTCTCTCGCGCTCTCTCTCACTCTCTCTCCAAACTTAATATCTAATTTTCTCCCTTGCGCCCCCCTTTCCATTAGTCCTCCCATTAATTCACCTGCCTGTCTGCTCTCTCCCTTTCATTTCACTGTTTATTTTTTCTCATTCCTCCTCCTTTATTACATTCCCCACTCGGCTCCCTCTCCACCTCTCTGCCTATCTCCCCCCCCCCACACACACACACACACCAAGATTCAGGGTAACATGTAAATATCATGCCACGTGGGGTTCAGGGCTACAGGTGCCCTATGAGGAGGAGCGGCCCAAACGCCCCTCATCACACCCCTCTGACCCCCTCCACACACGGACACACGCACACATAGAACACGTACACATGCACCCCACCACCACCACCACCCCCCTTCCTCGTTCCTCGGGGCGGGCAGGGCTGCAGCAGTTTTATGAACGGCAGGGCTGCATGCATCTTGATCCCTTTCCCTCTGAGCCGTTTCATTGACAAACATTCCGGTTGCTGCATTTCTGTCACGGACAGCGTCGAGGAGCGGAACGTCGCCGGGGAGCGGTGCAGAGCAGCAGCAGTGGAAGCCGCAGCTGCAGTGTTCCTTTAACATTAACCCCCGGTGTTGTTCGCACCAGTTTATAAGCTGTTGATTCGCCACTTGGACCCAGACTGGATCCCTTACGCACCCCCTCTTCCTCCTCCACGCTCTCTCGGGACACCTGAGGTGTGTGTGGGGGGGAAATCAAGACGGATTTTGCCACTCGGACCCATCGGGGGACGTGAGGCGGCGTCATTACTGCTCACTGGCAGATTATTGGAATTGTTGACCATGAAGCGCCCGGACGCACCGATGGAGGATTCCGGACACTTTTTTAAATCACGAGACTGCAGCGGCCGGTTCGTGATGCGAACTGAGCCGTGGGTGGTGTAGCCAACCTCCCCGCACCCTACACACCCCCACCTCCTTATTCGCGAACACCCCCCCCCCCGCATTCTTCCCAACCGGGACGCGCAGCCTTGTTTCACTCTATCGGAGGAACATGTCCCGGGCAGCGGCTATCGCGAGCTCCCTGATCCGCCAGAAGCGGCAGGCACGGGAGAAGGCGAATGCTTGCCGCGGAACCGGCAGCCCGATCAACAGCAAAGGCACAAACGAAAAGCCGAGCAAGCTGAACGTGTTCTCGCGTGTCAAATTGTTTGGATCGAGGAAGAAACGGAAGAAAAAGCGACCACCAGGTCTGAGGGGGGGGGGAGAAAAGTGGGGAAGCCACGAGCTGCACCACCATCACCACCTCAACCATCTTCATCAGCATCATCATCATTACCATCATCAACACCATCCAACACCATTTTCTCTCATCACTGAGGCTGGTCCTTCATCCCTTCATCATTCATCATGTCCTCCTGGTTCAGGGATCAGTCCTGTTGCGTGACACCACAAACATCACATGTGAACAACTTTGTGTTGTCCCGCAGCAAAGTGTTGTAGCAGCGTGCGTCTCTGCGATAGCGGACGGAGAGCTCATTTAAACAGGATCCCACTTTAGGCAGCCCTTGAGCTATACTCCTGTTATCACGTTGGAGCTGTCAACATTTTTTGGGGGGATTTGTGTGCATGTGCGCCACATTGTACAGGGGTCAGGGATCGACATTGGGCCCTCAAAGCCCACTGATTGGAAGAACAATCAGCTAATTCTCCTCCTGATACTTCCAGCTTCTTGGTGATTGCTGGAGTTGATCCATTTGATCAAATGACAGTTTGATGCAGTTAATGTGTCTCCTCTGCTCTGCTCCTCTCAGAGCCCCAGTTAAAGGGCATTGTGACCAGGCTTTCCAGTCGCCAGGGCTTCCAGCTGCAGATGCAGCCTGACGGCACCATTGATGGAACCAAGGATGAAGACAGCACTTATGGTGAGTCCAACTCTGGCCTTTGGACTTGCAGAAAAGAGTAGACGTCCACTTTTTAAATGATTCTTAATTTGCTTTCTATTTAAAAAATCTACTTGGGCTGCAACTAACCAGTCTTTTCATTGAGGATTAATCTGATAACTTTCCACTAATTGATGCATTGTTTTGGCGTTTGGTCAGAAGAAAATCAAAAATGGGGATCATAATTTCCCAGAGGCCAAGTCTTAAAACCCAAATCTATTCTATTCAATATCACATATCACAAAGAAAAGCAATAAATCATCACATTTTAGAAACTAAAACCAGCAAATGTTTAATATTTTTTCTTGGGAAAATGACAAACTTATATAATTATTATGATACATTTTCTGTCATTCGTCTAATCGATTAATCAACTCATCGTTTCAGCTTTGTAATCTGCTTCAGAGAACTTCAGTTACCATGAATGGAAAGACAAATGTGTGTCACACCAACGCTGGCACATATAAATGCATGTTTACTGCTGAATCAAACGTAGTGTTAAAACCTCCATTTGCTGTACATACAAAAGTAAAGGAAGATAAAATGATATCATAACTTCCAGTAGAAACTGAAACCATGCTTTCTTTTTATCTCAAGCTTCAATATTAATACATAAATGCAACATATCGAAGGGTCCATATCACACAAGGTCTGTTCGAGTTAAATTCCCATATACCCACTTTAGTGTTATCACCCAAAACCAGTCTAAATCCAATTTAATGATAGGCCTACACTCCATTCTGTGGAAATCAGTCCAATGTGTGAATTTATCCCAGACAGTCACTCAGCAACATGTCAGGTGTTCATTTAAATGGGAAACCGGTGGCTGCTTTATCCTCCAACTGTCAGCTGGTATCCCGGCAATCGATCTGTGTTAAATGTTACCTGGTTAAAGAAATAGATTAAATATCCACAGGATGCACACTGCAAAAGATACTTGAAGAGATCCAGAGAACACACTTTCTCTTTCTCACTTAAACACACACACACACGGGCGACAATGTGTCATCGCTACGGCTAATTGAATTCTGCTGCTGTGGTTCAGACGGCGATCCCTCTCCTTCTCGTGCACAGTTGGTGTTGCCAGCATCCCGCATTAATCTCTGCTGTACTTCCCGGGCCACCAACTGTTGTGTGTACAAGAAAGAGAGAGCGAGAGAGAGAGACACGGCTACAGAGGAGGCATGTTCTTTAATTAGATGATTGCAAGGTGGACACATCAAGTAAATGCCCACCCGCGTGAAATCAGTCGACCGTGACCGGGTTTCAATGGGTAATCCATGTAATCCACGTCTCCATATAACCGCAGTCATTATAGAGAACATGGTTTGGCTAAATGAGTGTAATTATACGAGGGCCTGGCTCATCAAACGTCCCGGGATAATTATGTTCCCTGCTACAGAGCTGTTACTGTGGAAACATAAAACACGCTTTGCTTGTGCCCGATTGCGCACAAACGGAGAAAACAACAACAAATAATATGAAACAAAGAATATCACCCAAAATGTGTAATATGATTATTAAATCTATACTAATTTGTTGCCGAAGTAGATTCTTTATCTGTTCATCTGACATGCCTGGAAATACATTTAAATCAGATCAGACAATCTGTGCTTTAATGTCACCATCACTGACGAGTGAGGAACCCAATCAGCTCAACATTGTCACGACGGACATCTTGGGCTTTTTATATTTGATTCTATCACTTTGGCTGTGCTAATAGGGGCTGACATTTTCAATGACAAATAAAAACATTGCCATTGAAGGTGTCATTGGGTCATTTATTTACTATCTTCTGATATTTCATTGGCCTAAATGATGAATCCATTGATATGAAACACAGTCGACAGATTAGCTGCGAGTGGAAATAACCCTTAGTTGGAGCTCCAGTAGGACTATTTTCATTTGTAAGAGTAACAAATAGCTTTAAACTGGTCATTGCACTGCTAAATGTTTTCCCACACCCTGATTTGCGACGTGCCTTTTGCAGAATCTAACACCTTTCCACATTTTATTGCCGCCGCTAAATCGTTAGTGTAATTCAGCGGCCTTAGCGCCTCACTGACCTTGTCAAATAGCTTCTCTGAGGCAAAATGGAGGTGTTGTCAGACCAGATGCTTCCATATTGATGAGGATTTTTCTCTCTCAGTTTCCCCCTGTGTTCACTTTGTGACTGCTCGTTTGTTTTCTGTGTGTGTTTGTTTGTCGTGTGTGTGTGTGCGTGTGGATTAATGTTTGCATTCATAGCTGTGTTCAACCTGATCCCAGTGGGGCTTCGTGTGGTGGCCATCCAGGGCGTCCAAACCAAACTCTATCTGGCAATGAACAACGAAGGCTTTCTCTACACCTCTGTAGGTCACCACGCTCTCACAGACACACACACACACACACACACACACACACACCACCATCACCATCATCATTACAGACCATGGGGGACTGAAATCTCCTCTTTGGGTCAGGTTGAGTGATGAATCAGCAGCTCTAAGTGTGACCCGTCTCATTATCATCCCATCATCACATCAATACTTTAACTACAGCATTGCCTTGTGAGTCAGCCGCCACTGGGTTTCATAATCCAGTGTGTGAAACTCTTCTCTTTCTACTGATATCGTGGCTTCACAGGATTGATTTCAGATCATCCACCAGCCTCCCTTTGTTTATCTCCCTGCGGCCACTCTTTGATAGGAAGATTACGTTTTGTCCATTCACACACACACACACACACACAGATCCTGAGATTTGTTTTCATGCCGTTCCTCCCAGCGAGATTTACACATACATCCCACTGTGCATGTCTTTCCTCACACCGGTCAGAAGGCAGTGTTGGCTGCAGAGCAGTGCTCTAAGTGCCTCACTTTAGCTCTCGAGCGGGGATGGTGGGCGGTGCGAATGCAAGAACAGAAAAAAAATATCGACAACAATAACATGCACTTATACCGCCACAATATCTGGCCCATCACGTCCAGTCCTGGAGGCTTGACGTCGGCCATAACACTCATATCACTCGCTTCATCTTCTCACCTGATGTTGAATGCACAAACTATTTATACATGCGTACACACAAAGCACACACGTCTGTTTGCACTGAATCCATTTCACAAGATCATAACCACACAAAGCTGGTTTACAATTCATTAACGGGTGGCAGAGAGAAAGAGCACTCTTTCGTTCCCTCCGGCAGCCTGAGCTCCATCTTCCTCTCAGTGGGCTGGTTGGTATTCAAGGGAGTAGCCGGTTGCTATGGAGATGCAGGAATAAGGAAATGCAAATGTCAGTTTTCCTAAGTTGGTGCAGTTTGTTCACGGAGACTATCGCCCGGCCGAGATAATGATTCAAACAGCGGACCAACTGATGGATGAATACACTGATGGCAATGATTTAACATTTGTTTTGGTGGAGTTGCCGTTACAAACTCCTTCCTCACCTCTCCGTGTCTACTTCATCACCTACTTGTCTTCTTTCTTTCATGATTTGTTCTAATGTCTGACACGCTCTCCCCTCAGGAACATTTTACCCCCGAGTGTAAGTTCAAGGAGTCGGTGTTTGAGAACTACTACGTCACCTACTCCTCCATGCTGTACCGGCAGCAGGCCTCGGGTCGGGCCTGGTACCTCGGACTCAACAAGGAGGGAGGAATCATGAAGGGAAACCACGTCAAGAAGAACAAGGCCGCCGCACATTTCATACCGAAACCACTCAAAGGTAAAGGAAGCAAGCTGCACTAAAACACACAACGTCTCGCAAGCAACAACAGACCTAAGTTAAACTTAAGTGGGCTTTTATTCTGCATAAGTATACATATTTCTAAATTTAAACAACACTTTTAAGGCACCAGAAAACTTGGTTTTAAATAGAATTTCTCTATAACATTAAAGAGAGTTTGACACTAGAAAGCTGTTGTCACATTCATCTGCTGTTGAGGGAAAGTTACTCTGTTCTTAGCTTAAATCTAAGTTCACACAAGAAGGATGTTGCGACACCACAACTAGTTTGGAAGCCAATCATGGTCCAACATTCAACTCACAGACGTGTGAAACTAGAAGCTTCCAGGATACATGAAGAGAATGGACTTTTCAGTGAAAAAATGACACATCTTGTGTCTAACAGTTAAACTTTTAAAATGAAACACATTAGCATCGTCATAGATTCGGGATTTCTCAATGACGCAGGGGGAGTAGATGTCATTGTCAGAAATAGTAAGTATTGATCAGACAAATTAACTATTTAAAGGAGGGTCATTTTATATTCCTTAGAAAATGTGAAAACCTGGTGTAGAAATAGTAAGTATTTCTCTATAATATTAAATTTTCATGACAAAAAAAGCAATAACCGGAGATGAAAATAAACATCCTTAGTTCACATGAAAAAAACCTGCGCGCTACCATGACAATGAAGTTGCAGTAAATTAGCAGCAAGCCTCACTGACTGAACTAAATAAAGACAAATGGATTTCCAGCACGAAAACAAATCTAAAAGAAATCCCTCACGGTCGCTTTGTCTTTGACCATTCAGCCGACCTGTCAGCCGGATGTTGTGACGTTCTTTGACGGCAAGAGTGAAGCAATTAAAACATTCCGTGAGATGGATAATAAAGCTCCGGTTTGATCCAAACTAAAATGATTGACTTTAATTAATTCACCGTTATTTATGGAAGAAATAAAAATCTGCCCCATAAAACATCAGGAGGGGACCTTTAAATAACTATGATTAAATAAGCAACAAGCGGGAAACACATCCCTAATTATCGTTTATGAAATTTAACATTCAAAAGCTGTGGCGTCTACATGGCAGCTGCAGGAACCATTAACGATGTAGGTTATATTTGCGCTGGCAGTGGAGATTAGTGTGGCAGGTGATATCTATATGGGGCACAGGTGCAACAGACTGTCTAATCATGCAGGGGTGATGGGAGATCTTGCAGTGACCGACTCACTGAAGCGCGTAAAAAACAAGGTCGTCTCCCGTCCCCAGCCGAGTGACCGACTGCTGGTCAGGATAGTCGCTAAAGCCACACAAGCAAACACCCCACCACAGTCATCGGACTTTGTCTCCGGTTGTCATGTGCTTCTAGTCTCATTGGCGCATGGGAATATGTGACATTGCCTTTTTCCAACAGAACCCCTCTAGACACGTGTAGATATGTAGGTGCAGTGAAATGCCCTGTGTCAAATCCTTTTGGAAATAGAGCAAAGAACAAAAAACTGAATGAGAGAGAAAAATAAAGATCGGCTTTAATCAATAGTTTTATATCAACAATGACTACTTCCACTACTGTGAAAGGCAGCTGTTTTCAGGGAACATGCTACCTGCCCAGCACCAAACAGCAGACAGACAAAGATGGCGTCTAGCTGGTGAACACAGTGGAGCATACAGGGATGCAGGGGTGACGTATTTTCGCAGGCCAACACGGACGTTAGCATCGCCCTGGTTCCCCTCGACAAAAAGCCGATGGGATTTTTCCATTGGATTTGGATTATTACAGAAAAAAAAAGGTCTGTGGCGAACACAAGTTTATGATTCTTAGGCAAAAATGCAATCGGCAGAAGTAAAAAGCTCACGTTATTCTATATAAATTACTACGGTCGCATGACTTCACGTCACCACCACCAAGCTCAAGGCGGACTAGTGTTACATGTGATTAATGTTTTGTAGTCTCATTTAGCCACTTCTTAGCAACGCCCTATTTTAAGACATGTAAAAGCTTAAAAGAGGGGTATTTACAGACCTTATTTCAGGCATCTAATCCAAAACCCACTCAAAAAAAAACCATTGACTTTGAGACAAGGGAACCTTAAGTGAAAAAAATGCAAAGTCATTTCCCTCAGAGGTAAGTGGAGAGCGAAACGAAGCTAAGAGGAGAGTGAATATTGGACACAAACATGACTCCAAATGAATGCTAATGCTGCTCTGTACCTGCTGGGTGTGTAAATAGGCAACTGTGTTTCTAACACGCTTGCAACTAAAAAGCAATATATGTCATTAATGCATTACAGTCTCTTTCTACTGTCTCCATGTGGGCAAAAATAGAAAGAATATTGCAGTTTTGGGGAAAAAAGGTAATAAAAACAATAACTGTTTGTTTATGATTGAAGACTAGAGATCATCATTACTTCTATTTTTATGGATCATTGCATTACAGCTGAGCATTGCATGAATTCCCCTTTTGGCAGTTAAGTCAGAACTTATTGTAAAACTAGAATTAATTAAACTTTCTATGAAGCAAACCTTTCAGTTTTCTACGTGCCCGTTGTGCAGGGGATGACTGCCTGAACAAGGCGTGCATATCAAACATGAGCGATGCCTTAGATGTCCATTTAATGAATGCTTCTTGTCTTCTCTGTGTCTGTGTGCAGTGGCCATGTATCGGGAGCCCTCCCTCCACGACCTGACAGAACTCTCACGGTCAGGTAGCGGCACACCGACCAAGAGTCGCAGCGCTTCGGCCCTACTTAACGGCGGAGGGAAGTCGCCCAGCAACAATGACTTATCCTAGCCCCCCACCCCTCACGCACACACACACACACACACACACACACACATAGACCCACAGAAGACACATGCACGCACGCACACACACACACACACACACACACACACACACACACACACACACAC